GTATCCCGTTACCCCTTTCTCGGTCTCCTGCTGGACCCTTTTGGACATTCATTCATCTTCAGACTTTTCGATCTTAGATCAGGATTCTTTATTTTTGTCCAAAGCAACGTAAAATTGCTTCCTATTTCAAGGTGTTGTATTGTTGAGGATTGCCACCGATAAATATCCTGAGGAAATAGGTGACAACTTTTATTTTTCAAGACGTCTTAACTGAGATGTAATTGGACGCATTTGATATACAGTTCCTTTTGATTTAAATGCATCCAATTAAAGTTAAGAAAATGTATATGATAAATACTGCGATTCGTATGGGATGGATAGTATCACGCGATAGGTTTCTACGGCTTTTCTTCTCATTTTTCGTAAGAAGCAATACATGTGGCAAAAATTTACGAAATTTATAAATTGGCAACATAATTGGCCCGCGTGAATCGAGAAAATACGAATTGCATGCATAAACACGATAACAAAATCACCTTCTTGGATGAGGAAATCAAAAAAGGGCACAAAGACTTTTTTTTATTTCACTTCAAATACCCTCGAGGAGATGATCCTATACGCTTATTTTTCCTACTTTATAACTCACATATTTCATTTTAAAAATCAGAAAACAGTCTTTTCATGTTAAAAAATTAATGGCATACCATTTAATTATTACGGTTCCGAAACTACTCGGACATAGAGAAAAAAAAGGAGGTGTTTGCATTTCGGGCATCTTGGAATTTTTTGATGATTTGATGACGTAGGTCGGTACAGCAACGTCCCCTTCACGCTAAACGTCGCTTTACCGACCTACGTCATCAAATCATCAAAAAATTCCAAGATGCCCGAAGTGCCAACACCTCCTATTTTTCTCTATGCTACTCGGATGCTTTGTGTCCTTCTTTGCTCTGACCATCCTTTTCATTCTTAGTGTTTTAATAATTCGACTACATTCAGCCATTAGGAACTACAATTTCTCAGTTAAAAAACGACGTAAGTACCACCAGTTTCCCTCATGCGCATTTACGGATAAGCCAGAAACTGTAAATTCTAACTATTGCGAGTGCTAAGTGCTAAGTGCACTCAAATTTATATCACCAAGTTCTAATCGAATTTCAAAGAGAAAACGCAAATTATTCTGCTGTCATTCAGATTCTACGAGCATATCATGTCGATCAACGGAAAAACGCAACGAGCATGATTAATTCTTCGACAGAGTTTCATTTCTGTCTCCAGCATGAAAATCGTGGCCGCTGCCCTCTGTGTCAAATATTGAATATTTCGTTGCGTGTGACATCGAATGGCAGCATTAGGGGGGGGGGGGTGGCTTTGCAATTTGACCCACATTATGAGAGCGTCCTTGCGGATTTCGAACGCGGAAGTGTAATATTGTTATTGTTGTGGTCCGCGAGCTGCGACCTACCCTAATATTTGACGTATGGAGAAATGATGGAATAGGAAGAGAGAGGCGAGGGTGAAAGTATCCGAAGGGTTGTTTGGATTTGGGGTGGCGAGTGGGTAGCCCGTGCCCGGGGGCACGCGGAAGGCGGAACAGGAACTCAACTGAGCTGTTGGATCCAATAAAAGCTGGGTCGAGAAAGGTCCCTCCTGCCCGGTTCCGAATTGACATTGGTCGTGTGCCCTTTTCATCCCTTGCTCCGTACTTACCCCTCGTGCTGGAAAATGGCTTCTCATGGTTTGCGTTGCCATTTTGATTTAATTTGATCTCTGCTCCAGGAAAATTGGATTATGTGCCCTGCCACTGAACTTAACGACGACTGGTAGTTTCTGAGTCCGCTGACTCAGACCGTGTAAGAAAACCATAAAAGGAGTGAGTGAATTCAGGGCTTTAGATTTTATTCGTAATTTTACAAACTCTATACATGAAGCTCGAATAATAACTTTTTTTCGTGTGAAAGTTACCGAAAAGAGGACCAACCTCTGAATTTTAAAAATACATAAGATAAATTCAAAGTTTTTCGAATTTTTGCGTGCGCTCTATTTCTGCTTTCGCTAACTTTCTTGTATTTATATTTCCTCGAGGGTAAACAACTGCACAAACTTGTATGGGATATGCTAAATCAGCTGTTTTGTCTTAGAGTATGCTGAATTAGCTGGAAGGAATAAATGAGAAATTGTGGGCAGTTTTCATTCGCTCCACTATTGAAAATCAAGAAAGTAAGTGCCAAAATGTATTATGTCTGAGTTTTCTAATGTCACGGTCAGTTGAAATTCGAGACATCTATAGAGCAGAGCACCAGCGCCATAGCTGTCATATTAAAATGTAATCTTGCGATTGTGAATAAGGGAGGAACCGAAAATTTCAGGTCGATGGTTTGTCATGCTCATGATCCATGCCTTTTTGTAATTATGGTATTTTCCGCCGATCAACTTTCATCAGCGAAACCCCACTGAATTGCGTAACAAGCAGACGTTCCATCGAACGCATACGCACCGAGACTCAGTAATTGTTTTAATAGTAGGTCAAAAATCTAATCGAGAAGGACTTTTTCGCAGAACTCTCGGCCAAAATCTTGATAACGAGCGCGGAATTAGTTGGATTGAATCGATGCAATTGTTGTTAGGCCTCTTTCTAGAAATCTAGGTTTAGTTGCACATTGACGCAATGCTATAGTCGTCACATCGAACATCTCATCAAAGACTCATTATACGTGAGTAATGAATGTATCGCAACCTTCCACTATGTCCACTAGGTTTAAAGAGGTAATAGAGGGCTTAAATGGCGACATTCTGAGTAAACTCTCATATTTAGATCAAAATTGCAGTCACGGCGTGGTGAATGCAATTAGTTGAGTGGCGCTACCGCTTGTCTAACCTGATTTTAATATTCTCGTTATGTAACAATACCATGATGACCCTCCTTTGTCATTTTCGATTAGATTCACGAAACTGCGAGCCACACTCCCTTTCGTTTAAATTTTACTTTCTTAAAATGTATTGCAAAATGTACAATATCACATCACTTTAACTTGGAGTAAATACAAATTGTATCAACGCGAGTCAAGGAAAATGCTCATATTAACGTGTCAAAGACATGTACAATGTTGATTTTTTTTGAAGCCACCTAAACCTAATTTATCCCAGGCTCCGAGTGTGGTCGCAGTGGCTTACGACGTATCGACGGTGAATCTGCAAAAATGCGGATTTCGATTGCGATGTTCCGAACCCTCCGCTTCTGTTTTATTTTTCAAAAGGAGACCGAATCAGCATAATGGCTTGAAGTTTTCACAGAATATTCCTTACGAAGAGAAGAAAAATTGTTGACATTTTAAAACTAATGATGTTCGGGAGTTTTCCATGTAGAAAATGAAGTATGACAGGAAGTCTGCAACTCCACAAACCGAGATACGCATTTCTGCAGTTTCACCATTGATATCGCATCGCTTAAGTAAAAAAACTTCATAAACTGCCTGCCACCTATAAGTCGAAAAAATGGCGACAATTCTTGCGAACGAGTCAGAAGAATCATTCGAAACGAAAAAAAAAATGGAATATTTGGAGAATTGAAAATAGAATTTGGCTACTTGAGAGTAATATTGTATTTGATGCATAGATTGTTGCATCAAACGCTATCTTATTTTCATGGCCAAATCCTTTTTTATATCTCTGAGTTTTGTAATGATTTTTTTTACTCGTGTGCTGGGGCTTTTGTTATTTTTTGGGTTAAAAATCAAAATCTGCGAAGTTTCATTACTGGACCGGGGCGATACATCATACGCCAGCCTGAAAACGCTTACAATCCAGAGCGAATCGTCATAGTTAGAATGATCCGTATGCATCGAAGAAGTGCCTTCATTTGACCGAATAGGCAATAAAACCTACGCAGATGTTGTAATAGTTGCATGGAGCTTTGTTCGATCATTTGTGCCAGAATTTTCTTACATGTGAATGTGCTAGAAATAATGGTTCCTAATCGCAAAATGCAGTCAATTTAATCTGCCGTGGTTGAAGCTCAACATTTTCCTAGTAATATGTAAATAAGTATACAGCTTTATGCAGACCGCTTGCAACTTATTCTTTGGAGCACTAGACTGCGTTTTTCAACGATAACTCAATATAAATTCTAATTTTTCGATTCGTTTTGAAAAAAACATTACTATCCCGCAACGCCCTCGTTGACTATGTACCTATAAAGGTCATTCTTCTGAGGGCCGCCATATTTTAGTCGAATTTGGCCCAGACGGACGGCATTGAAGGGACCTAACTCTTATTAGGCCTCCGAAATTGAACATTGATGATCCTCTACCGTTTAAGCAAGATTTAAAGAAATTCTCAATCGCATTACGAGACCTATTGAAACATCCGATGCACTTTTTTGAAAGAGTAGATTCCCATCAATTACCATACGAATCCAAACGTTTACTCTAATTTCATGCTGATGACTAAAATATTGCGAGTGATTAGGTCTGCAGCAAGAAAGGTGTGCAGACCAGAAACACATTTACTTTCTCTTTGTTTATTTTCACCATTTTTCAAAAGTACCGTTCTCTTTTTACGGGTGAAAGGAGAATCCTGCGGGGTCATATTAGCGAAACCCGTTGTTCCCATGGCCGAACCCTTTGGGTGGCCCGGTGGAGACACGCGCGTCGCAGGCCCCGTTACGTCCCGGACAAAGAAATTTCCCTTCGAAAAGGAAAAACAGCGCAATCCGAGCTATAACCATTTGTCTACATCACACATTTCAAAAAATCTCCTCGCAACACTTTCCCAAATTTGTATTCACCGTTCCCGGGCCTCGCATTTTTCACCCAGCTTCTCCATCCATCTTCTGGGGCGATGGAGATAGCGGGTGTCATATTAGCGACGGCCCTCGAGTTCCGAATTTGCGAGGAGAGGAGAAAAGAAAGGTCGAGCCCTCGCCACCGCAACCCTTCGAGCCCACCATTAGCCGATGGACACTTGCTTTCTATTCACCACCCCTCCAACCCCTCCCGCGCCGCGCCGGAGCCTGGCCCACCCCGGTGACCGCTCGGGGGTTTGAAAAGGTACAGTTATTTTGCAACTGTACCCTCCCCTCCCGCCAGTTCACCGTTTTGGCCAAGGAAGGCCTCTTCCCTCTTCCTCATTGTCGCACGGTTCCTCCTTCGAGCAACACCGCAACCTGATTTCTTCTCTCGCGATCAGGTGATCGGCACCCTTCCGTTATACGCAAGTGTTAGTGACTTTCGCACCTCCGAACTGTTCTGTTTATTCTGCGTTATCGTGATTACGTTTCTACTTGAAGACTCTTAACGTTTGCATTCACGTTGCTGTGGTTTCTGTTTATTTCGCGTTATCGTGATACGTTTCTACTTGAAGACTTTTAACGCTTATCTTAAAATTGCTGCTGTTTCTTTTGACTGTTTTCGGGTCTCCGTCGTTTTTTGTCGTGTATCGTGTCCTGTTTATTGTGTTTAACGTGATGATCCAAGTGTTCGGAAGTCTCTTGTACGCTCAAGATCACTCGAAGTTTGTTTAATCGCTAGATCTACAAGTTGGATGAAGAAACATCTCCTACACCACATTAAGTAAGTTTTTATTTCTTATCATAACCAAATTTTCGCCTGATTTATTGCAAAGGTTAATTTATTACTTTTTACTTTTGCATCTAAACGGAAATGTTTTTTCTTCTAATTGACTTTTTAAGAACTTTATTGCTTTTAACTCCTGTCGAAGTACTTCCTCACAACAAAGATGTTTACTCCGAAACAATCTCAATTTCTCTTCGGCGTCAAAGAGCTGTGTATTTTGAGGATACCTTAGAAATTTTATCAGTTACTCGTTAATTCTCATATCGCACTTTTGAAATTTTATTAGATGATTTATTCATTAACCTTTGCTCTAAATGTGGCTTAAGTTTTGTATATTCCGCATGAGTAGTTATTATTTCATCCCCTGACTGTTGTTACTGCGATTACAAAATTTAATTCATTGTCGTTTACTCGCGGCTCCGACGCAAGCTCCTGGTGTTATGATCATTTTCTAGTTCAAATCTTCATCTTCGAGTACTTTTTTTCAATTTTAAAAAGGGAGCTATGCTAACACAAGGAGCAATTGGTCAAGAAACTGGTGCTATGAAATGATCACTGACTCCATTGAAAATTGCATTAGGAAAACCGTGTTAAAGGAAAATGAATATAGTACTGTAGTTTCTTATCTTATAATAGGAGTAACTGGATAAACTTGCGGAGTGACGAATGGTTTAGATGGATTGTTGCATTTTGAACATTTATCGTTGAACTTATTTACGGTCGATGAATTTACATTTTTCAAATCTAAAACATACATAAACATTCAATACCATCCGCCTTAATTTTTCAGTTGAGAGTTTGCATTCTTTCTTGTATCGGTGCAATTTTATCCAGCTGATCTTTCCATCAAAGTGCATTAACGTTTTATTTTTATGCGTAGGGTAATATTTGGTTGAAGGGTTATATTTTTTATGAAATGTTATCAGAATCTAGTCCCGGCAATTTTAGAATCCTCGACCAAAGTGCATATTAACAGCGCAAGTCCGCAATCACATGTTTCGTTTGCGGTGTCTGCAAATCTCCGCCTCTATGTTATTTTTTTAAAGTGATTCGATGTACGCCATATTTTGTGTCAGAATGACGTGCGATGTATCGCATCGATTGGCTCTATTTTTTCAGCTACTAATCATTATTCTCGAATTTTGTTGTTAATTCTGTTGTCAGGAGTCTAAAGCACCCACTTGCCAATTTTCACAAACAAATTCAACGTAATAAAGGCGTGGTTTTTTTAGAGAGAATACATCGCATTCGATACTGATATAGAAACTGCACTCAAATGCGATATTTTCTCTCTAAAAAAACCACGCCTTTATTACGTTGAATTTCTTTGTTAAAATCGGTGAGTGCCTTAGTATCCTGACAACAGGATTGCGATCTCAAAATTTGAGAAAAATGACGAGTAGCTGAAAAAATGGAACAAATGAAAAATGCGATATATCGCATGCCGTTCTGACACAAAATATGCCGTCCATCGAATCACCTTAATGGAGGAATACTTGACATCGTTCCTTGAAGTTTATGCAGAATTTCCTTCGCGCACAGAGAAGAAAAATCATGGTATTTTTATAGAATGGACCACTAGACAAGATACGAATTTAAGCGATTTGATACTAGTTTCTCAACCAGAATTTCACGTAGAATACGATTCGCGCAACGAAAATTACTGATATCAACTCCTTACGAAGATATAAACGCTTTTATTTCACATTGGTTACGAAGAATTTGAACTGCCCGCTCACAAGAAACTCAAAGCTCTACGTGAGTCAAATCGAGCACTACAACAGTTTCAGCAAGCTTCTCAAACGAGCAATGTTCATCTCTCACCGTAAGTTGTTCAAACTATAAGCAATTTGCTATAGCTGAGCCGAAGCGTCAGATTGAGGTTGCCAGATTTTTATATCGCAGAAACTGTAATGATAACGTTTAGTGCGCGATGTGAATCACGTAGAGCGTTGAGTTTTCATGAGCGGGTGGTTTCAATTCACGCACCAAGAATCATCAAATATCTTCGTAAAGAGTCGATATCGGTAATTTTCGTTGTGCGCATCGTGTTCTACGTGAAATTTTGATTACGAAACATGTATGAGAATGCTGAAATTCGTACCTTGTCCAGTGGTCCATTGCCGTTGAGTAGTTATCCGTTGAAAAAATGAAGTATGCAGGAAGTCTGCGACGTCAGAAACCTAGTTATATGAGCCGACTTGTACCGTCGATGTATTATTATTCAATCATCCCCAAACTGTCAGCAATTTTCGTCCATAAGTTGCAGGTATTCGGTTAAATGCCTAGACATTCAACCAAATAATCAAAGAAAATGACGAAGTTCGGGCTAAATGTGCTGTGCTCACTGAAGCACGTTTCGCCTTCACTTTTTGAGCTGGGCAAAATTGCCTCCCATATGGTCGAATAATGGTATCGCGCATATAGAAACGCGCTTTGATCGTTTTGCCTCGTGTTTTATTTCGTTTTAAGTAATTTCGCTACTTGGTAACTTGGCCAACGGTAATTTTTGTTGCTGATTTGACTATTTGCCTGAATTTTAACAAGTTTGAATTGTCTTTAGGCCGTATGGCTCTTCATTAAATGCTTTGACAGGAAGTCAAAAATGAAGTCTTACAACATGCATTTAACTAATTTTTTCAATAAACATCTTATTGTGTTTTTGAGGGGGGAGGAGGAGGGATGGAGAAGGGTTCAGGTATAGATGTGAGAAATACTGTTTTTAGAGTCTGAATTTTGCTCGCGATTATTTCAATGCGTACAAGCCAGGCCGTTCAGCGAAGTGCCTAAGCAAGTGTCATCTCGGCTTGGAGCGCCTTCACATTCCGTGATACTTCACACTTTGCTATGCAGTTAGTTTAGTTGCCTATTCGACCCGGGCCCCACCTACACTGATGAAAAAACACTCTTGGTTCAAGAGTGCAGTTTCTTGTCGCCGGAGTGTTGGACTCTTGTTTCAAGTAACAATCCGGCGGCAAGAAACTGCACTCTTAAGTCAATGCACCGCGGCATTGGTCCAAGAGGTTTTTTTTTACCAGTGTAGGATTGAATTTCACCTTACCGATGCAAATCGATGCCAGCCCAGCTGCCGTGCCAAACAATTGCAGTGTGCGCATACGGACGTTGCCAAATTTTGTATGCTGAAAATCGAAATTTTGGATTATTTAAAATCGTTCTAGTTTCAATGTCTTAAGGCATTTTGTTCGCAATTTCATATAAAAGTTTTAAAAATTTCGAAGAATATTACGGAAACCTACTATTTTACACGGCCGATATATTTGCGACTTTTTTAAATCGAATTTGAACGTATTGAGACTAAATGAAATGACATGTTTGTGGTTTGCGTGCAACATACTTCCTTATAGTATCAAATCGGCAAATCATCTATTGGGATGATAACTACACAGCTACACGGGGAAGAGGTTACTTGGAGCTAGAGACTAGACTCATAAACAATTTGACAAGAAAAAATATTCTTAATTAACTTCGATCTTCGCTATCGAGAGCTGCGATTCTTAATTTAAGCTGATCTTTAATTTCAAGCGAAAATTCGATTGAATCAAGAGTATTTTTTCTTGTCAAGTTTTTAAAGACTCTGGGCCCTGGATCCAATAGAGTTTTTTACAGTATATTATTTTAACTAAAAAATGACTCAAGTTATTAAATTGTTGTAAATTCGGAACTTTAATGGATTTGTCTGTAGTCTTTTAGAATAACATTGATTTCGAATCAAAGAGTGTCTCAATTTACGCGTAAAATAATATATGATTAGCAACTGTGTCTAAGACTTTGCGTACCTATATCTCTGCCAATGTACAATATGCGCTCAACCGTCAAGGCATTCGTCAAGATATCCGACACAGGAAAATAAAAGTTGCTGTTACAATTCTCCTGGTACATTCTAGATCCAACTTACTTCCCTTGACGTTGTTACGAATACGATGTTACTTTTATGGTACAAATCGCTCGGCCGTGTTAAAAAGCTGCATTTATAATGCGATTTAAAACAAATCGCTCGGCCGTGTTAAAAAGCTGCATTTATAATGCGATTTAAATCATTGTTAACTCTGAAATATAATAATCGTTACTTCGACCGTAAATTAAGTCGATTCATTTTCCATCGTGAATGTGAGTTCCTTTCATGAAAACCGGAAATAAAATAAGCGATAAAATAAAAAGTTAAAAGCTGTTTCATCATCTGTGGGTGTCCCTAAAGTCGGTGTCACCACGCACTTTTTTGAGCACCGAGGCGCTATATTTGCACTTTTTCCTTCATCTTTTTTTCACGAAATCGCCGTTGCGTAGGAACGCAGAACGAACGAAAAACATGTGGCACGCTGAGAATATTTGGCTTGCAGTTTCGTTCGGCATCGCAGATGAAATTCTTATTATTGACCAAACGTTCTTGGAATAATTCTCGATTGAATATCTGCAATAGCTTTATTTCAACTGGTGCATACATAAAAGTTTCAATGACGCAAACGATTGCGCTTAATTGCCCGCCATAATGCACAGTTCTTCATTCAAAGAAGTGCTAACGTAAAATAGTGTGAACGCAGTACTCTTAGGTTTTTGCTCGCGTGAGGTATGTGCTTTTTAATTTTACTTTTCGCTGTGCATTCATCATTATTTTGTCATTGGCAAACGATGCTCATGTAGCCGGATTTGCGGTATTGGCGCCCCTAAGTCGGAGAGGCCCCCCCCCCCCACACACACACACACACACACACACACACACACACACACACACCCACACACACACACACACACACACACAATGAATTGATGGCGCGGGGTTGGGAGGGGCGCGTCATGTGCCTCGTACATTATACATACCCACCGCTTTTTTAAGTAGATAGATTTTTGGACTCTTTATCATCGTGCACCTGATTCTTCTGCATTAATTCGCCGCGCCGCTCTTCCCCCGTCATTCTTTTCGCAAATTTTCGCGGCCACCTAAAATTTGCAGCCCTACGCCGCGGTCTCGACGGCTCACGTAAAAAACCGGCCATAATGTGCATATTCAGTACTTTTGTTATTTATACGCACTCAACACACACCGTGGCAAATTGTCCAAAAAAATTTATATTGTTAGCATGAAGTTCTTCTCGGTCTAAGTGTGAGGTTGTTAAGAATAAAAGTTAACCTCCATTCACTGCCGTGCTGAGGAAGAACGCCGTATGAACCTTCAGACGTTGCCAAAAATCCTTTGATAAAATATAGATTTTCAGGGAGTTCTGTGAACATGGCTTTTTGCATTTTTTAGAAATTCTATTTGCGATCACATTTAAATCTTCTGAAAATTTCAAGAGTCTATTCATGACTCCTAAAGGATAATAATTTTTTCGGAGGCAATTTGGCCTCTCTAGAGTGTCATACGGCGTTTTTTCTGACCACGGCAGCATATAGGTACCTAGTCTTGTCATAGTTTCCTCATGGCGTTTAATATGCGAGGGTCTAAATAATTTATCTAATGAAATTTTATGTCACATGATTATTTTGATCGCAATTCAATACTTTATTTTCTCTCTAAAGTTTCTTTTACTGTACGTTCCCTTCTATCAGTCACTTTCGTTTTGACCGTATTAAGTATCCGAAAACGAGGCAATTCTTCCCATTCTTGCATTTCCTTCGTGATTTTCAACACTAGCTTTGAACGTGCCTAGAAATTTCTTCAATCTCTCTACATAATTGATCGATTGATCTCACAATTGACAACCTGATTCTCCATCATTTCCGGCCCGAGGAATTTTTTCTCTCCCTCCTGACTCCTACGGCAATGATTAGGATGTCAAAACACGCACACCCTGCCATTCTTGACCACCCACAATCGCCCAAATTACGTCATGTTCCAAGTTTCACGAAGAATTTCCATCCCTTCCTTTCCCCTTTACCCTTGACAGGGAGCGAAGAGGAGCCGTACAAGTGATAGATTATCCCCGTGAGAATTTTCACCCACAGTTCACAGGCCGGTGGTGGGTTCGATTCTCTTGTCCAGCTTGTCCATTCTTATCTAGGCCTCATCGTTTGACCGATGATGCAGTTTTAAGACGCGTTAATGGATTTGCGAGTCTGTCAGTTAGGTGATCGGTCATCGGTCATCAGTGGCGTGCTTTGCGATGTATCGATTAATCTGTCATTTAAACATATGGAAAAGAATCGATTAACAGGTTGTTCGCAACAAACACCTTAATAATCGATTCTTTACCATAGCTTCAAATGGGGAAATATCGATAGTCGATCATTCACTCCTCGCCACTGTCGGTCATTCGACGCTCTGTATACTAATTTGAGGAGAAATCCCTTGCGGCGGTTCAGGGAATCATCTAGTTCTGTTGGGTCTTTGCATCATCCCACGAATTCTGAGGCACGATAGGGGGTTGGTCCATTTTTCAATACAGTACCGTTCGAAAGGTTTTTGCTTAGCGGGTGAATGGATTCGCGACATCCCTGCTTGCGGTCGGTGCAACTGTTGGATTAGCCGTGTTTTGGTTACTTTCATGACACCGAGGCTTACCACGGAGATGATACAGAAGAAAACAGGGGCCGTACAAACTTTTCTCTTTGATTTGTGTCAATGGAGACTGAAGGAAGAGATTTTATTTTTATATTTCCTAATCTTTTTGGTGGAGATAAAAGTTATTTTAAAGGCATGACAACATTGGGAACTGAGTATTTTTTAAGGGAGGGCAAGGATATCTGGACGAAAAAAAGGTTATCAGGCAACTGTCTTAGTTTAGAATTAGAACTAACTATATTTGTTCCGACGGAAATATTCTAAGCTCATGAGCTGGAGCAGTTTTTTTTCCCTTGTATACTTGAATCGTTGCATTAGATTTGAAATGTATTTGACTGTATCTTAAATTTGATATCTTATCGAGTTCGTTAGCTGCAGGGGAGAGGGGTTGTCTCGGAATACACGGTCCCGGTAGCACAGTGTTCGCGGCAGCGCCCCAACTTCATTTTTCTCTTCCTGCGTTTTCATAGGCTACTTTAAGGTCGCGACGTCGGTGGCCTATGCTTAAATCCGGCCATGCCCGGCGTCAATATGTGCTATGTTAAATGGGGGAAAATCTTAGCTTTTCACCCGTCCGTCAGTTTACTGATGTTTGTGAATGTAAATTGTAAGCAATACTCTCGCATTTATGAACGCGGAAAACAAGCGTTCAACTATTCAACCTCCGGAGTAGGTATGTGCTGTGGTATCGCGGGAAAATGAAGGAAAATTTTAGCTTCTCACCTGTATGACATTTGTGAGTTTAAGGATAAGCTCGCATCGGCAAACGCGCAATTATTCAAACTCCGGACTTATGGTCAGAAGTGGCTGGCAGTTAATGCAGTGCCACAGTTTGAGGTATGCATACTTTTCGTCCATAGAACTCTTGCAGCGTCAGGGATTTACGATTCAAGAACTGTCGTTCGTAACATTTTGCGAGAAACACTGCCAGTCTTTTCTTGTCATGAGTCCGGAGTTCGAATAGTTGCGCGCATGATTCTCGCATGTAACGATGAGAGCCAGTCTCCATTCATGAACGTCAGTCAGGTGAAAAGATAGTATTTTCCTTCATTTTCGTCTGATACCACATCGCATACCTATTTCGAAGGTCGAATGCTTGCGCGTTTGATTTTCGCATTCAACTATGTTAAACGTTAGTGATTTGAGACGGGTTAAAAGCTAAGATTTCCCTTCATTTTCCCGAGATACCACAGAACATACCTGTTCTGGAGGATAATAATTGCGTGTGCTTGATTTCCGCATTCAACAATGCAAGAGTAATGCCTAAATTCAGAAGTAGTAATTTAAGACGGGTGAAAAAGCTAAATGTCCCTTCATTTTTCCGTGATACCACAGCTCATATTTACTCCTGGCGTGGCCGCGAATTTATGCCAAGACCGCCGAGGTTGCGGCCGTGAGGGAGTGTCAAAGAATGTATGAAGAGAAAAAGGACGTGCGAGGGGAAAGCTACTTTAATTGCTAATTATTGACTTTGGGATTGCTTTATTATACCATCGATCGCGGTTTATAACCATTGGTATTCATTTTCATAAATTGCAACAAGTTCTCATGTTGAAAATTCTTTAATACTGTATCTTCCTTCTTGTTGCGGGATTTTACTTAAAAATTGAGTGCGTTTTCCACGTTTCTCAAGCTTGCCATACACGTACTTAAAAAGTATACTAAAATCTCATTTTCTGTTCTGTTTCAGGGTCGAGGATTTCAAGAGCCGAGAATCCAACATGGCGGAAGTTCTCAACATGTCAGTCAACCTGTCCTACACCAACTTTAACAACAACGCTTTGGACTTGCGGAAAAGAGGCCGCGAATCGCCAGAGGGTCTCGCCTGCCCGCCGAAGAGATTCAAGTTCTACGCCAAGGACGACGGTCTGAGCCCCCCTAAGACCATCAGCCCGGCCACGAGCCCAGGAATCTTGACGCCCTCTCCGCCATCCAGCCTGGACTACAGCCGGAGTAGCACACCCATTCAGCGTTTGGACTCCAGCCGGAGTAGCCCACCCATCCAGCGTGTGGACTACAAGCCCAAAGTTCACGCACCCGTTCTCTGGCCGCACCCATCCAACGGCTACGCTGTCAACCACCTCGGCGTCTTCGCCGAACAGAGGCCGGCGCCCATCATCCCCAGCGACCTCCACGCGCGCTACTCCGAGTTCTTCGACTACGCCAAGAACAAGTTCTCGATCAGATCCCAGAGGGAGCAAAGACACATCGAAGAATGCAGACGTCTAGAAGAGTACAGACGGCGCTCAGCCTACCAGATGGCACCCCCCGCCCGACTGAGCCCCACGGAAACGCCTTTCGGTATGTTGAACCTGAACGTGCAACTCAACCGCTCGAGCAGTCTGTCCCCCGGATCTCCAGTTGATCACCGCTTGCTCTCGCCCAACCAGATCATGCGACCCCGCTCTGCTGAGAACCCTGCACGCTCGCCCATGACCTACCCGTTGGAGCCGAAGCCCATCAGACCTCAACCCCGAGTTGCCGAGACCTACAGTCGGACCCGCGGACCCCACAGTCAAGATCGCGTTTCGCCGGTGTCCATGGCCCGCGCGGACTCTTCACTGTCCGGCAAGGCGTCTCCGCTGTCGCAGCCCAGCTCCGTGGACGTCTCTGAAAGCTCGTCGGAGGGTCTCAAGTCTCTGTCTGGAGACTCGACTGCCGGTCTGATTGGACTGTACTTGGACCAAGTTCACCCTGCCTTGTCGCTGACGGACAAGATCATCAACGCCGGTGTGACCGGGAAGCCGACGCGGCCGTTCAAGGCCTACCCCAAAGACCCGCTCTTCTTGGCGACCAGCCTGGCTGCGATCGATCCTGAGGAATTCCGGTACTCGCAACAGGACTACTATGAGTTCAGGGAGAAGATGTTGTCCCTGTCAAGACATGGTGCAGGTAATTTGAATTCTTTATTACTTCTCGTAAAATACATGAAAAAAAAAATGATTTGAGGGTCCCCAATGAGTTTATCAAGCGTGGGAAAATCGCCGCGTCGAATATGAAAGAAAAAGTTTGTAAACTTATCTGAAATTTCGGGGAATTATTTTAAAAATTTGCAATTCTGATAATATCCTCCCCCCTCCCATGCAATGTTTGCCTTTTCCTCTCTTTATTTATGAACAGTACGTGTTTGTACTTGAAGAATTTTTCGATCTCAATGAAGAAAATCATATCGATGCCGAACGGTATAAAATGTACGATGCAATTGTGACGTTGCTAAGACCCATTCCTGTTTCATGTTCTTAAAAGAATATGAGGCAACAACCGTACAGTGAACCGTTAATTTTCTCCACTCGCTCAAACATTTTCGTTAAAATTCTCAAGGCGATGTATCGCACAGTTTTATCTATATATGAAAACATGATTGGAGGGACTTAAACGTTGTAATGGGGGTTCTAATTTTTCGACTTGAGCCGACGGTAAAAATCCATATGTTGGTGGATCTTACAGTTTGAAAAGTATTGTCGGTTGCATGAGTTGTATTTTGAAGGCGGGCATGCACAACTCGTCTCGATCTCCTCACGTCCACGTCTCTCATCTGAATTTCCACCACTACAATTTTTCTGAGTTTGCACATTTTCGAAATAAACGCTTTATCAATGCTAATAGGAGTTAGATTTAAATGTGCGAGGACACAGAAAACAATATGAAGCATGAAAATCGATGGTTAACCAAAAATACCTCCTATCTGACAATGATTCTGACAAAAACTGATTCAGGAACTTAGTCGCATTCTACAGTATAAAATACGCAGGCTGATAATTTTGGTTTTTTTTTCAATTCTGTGTGGGAGCACTCAGTGACGCTATAATGTACGATAAAATTGCCTACAAAGTATAAGAATGGAGAAGTTTTCTCTTCGTTCTGCAAAATCGCCCTTTTGCAGGTAGGCACTATCATTCGTTAGCCATAAAAATGCTGAACTTGTTTTATTTTTAATCATTTGGACTACATTTTTGGACATCATTTGGCGGCTTCAATTTGAAACTATGAATTCTAGCCCGGTTTAAAAACAACGTATGTGCCATTAGTTTCCCTATGCACATTAGTGTTTTTTCAGGAGAGCCAGAATTTGTAGGTTCAAATTGCAAAATGCAGTCCGTTTGCACATAGTTGCTTTTGGACTGCATTATGCAATTTGGACCTATAAATTCCGGCCCGGTTTAAAAACAACGTATGTGCCATTAGTTTCCCTATGCACATTAGTGTTTTTTCAGGAGAGCCAGAATTTGTAGGTTCAAATTGCAAAATGCAGTCCTTTTAGCACGAGTACATCTTCACAGGTTAAATAACGATATAATTTCTATAAATCTAAATTTTTTGTTGTTTTTGTTTGTTTCAGGTCAATCCTATCCAAAGATGAAGCGCAGCGGTAGCCCTTCGACAGAAGCCGAGGGCGAAGGCACGAAGGACGCCCAGTACTGGGAGCGTCGGCGGAAGAACAACGAGGCGGCCAAGAGGTCCCGGGACGCCCGAAAAGCCAAAGAAGACGAGATCGCCATTCGCGCAGCCTATCTGGAAAACCAGAATCGCCTCCTAACAGCCGAAATCCGCCATCTCCGGTTCGTCACCGACCAACTCAAACGCTTGGCCGAAGAACGCGCTTACTCAGGGTAGATGTCTTCCCTCCGCCCTCCTGTTTCAAGGGAGGTTTCACGCTGGAACCAAAATCCAGGCGAGTCAGTTTTGTGATAGCATCAAAAGGCAGTAATGTCAGTCTGCTCATAGTCATTTCTTCATTTTTTAGAGTATCTAATTCGCGCTTTGTGAATTTGCTTGTCAGAGTCAATTTGTAATATTTGCGGGTAAATTTGTCATTGTGACGTTTTGTACTTTTTTAAGAGTACCTAATTCGCACTTCGTGAGTTTTCTCATGGGAGTCAATTTCTAATATTAGTGAGTAAGTTGAACTTTCAAAAGTTCAGTCACAAGAGTCAATTTGTAATATTTGCGGGTAAATTTGTCATTGTGACGCTCAGTATTTTTTTAAAGTGCCTACCTAATTCGCACTTCGTGAATTTTTTTCTGAAAGTCCATCTCTAATATTTAGCCTCGTTGAACTTTAAGATGTTCAGTGAAAAAGTCAATCTGTAATATTTGCGGGTAAATTTGTCATTGTGACGTTCCGTTTGAGAGGTAGTTTCCAATTTTCTCAGTATTTTGAATTTTGTCAATTTCCATCGTGAGATCGGCTCGCACGCCCGCTAGGTTTCGCCAATGAAGTTATTCATCTTGTTGGGTTAGTCACTTCTGTAAATAGATTCTCATTTGATGATTTTTTATGTAATTATGTACAGGATATATTTTGTATATTTTTTAATTCGGCATAGAGTCTTTAATTATGGATAGGTATGATAAAAATTTGTGTGTAATTTCTTGAATTTTTTCAACAGGCCTTGAATTGTACACACACGTGACAAACTATTTGTATTGTGTTATACCTAACTTTCCAAAATTTGTGGGAATGTATTCTTTTCATTCCAAGTCTGAAAGAATCAGATCATATGTAGGGAAGGACGCTAAACCAGAGGGTGTTATCACTCATGTCTGGGTCAGATAAATTATTACAGAATTATATTTTTGACTAAATTGCACTTATCAAGTATTAAAAGCTCTATATATCTGCGACATATTGTGTGATATAAATGTATAATATGTATTTAAACATTTCATCAAAATACAGTGTTGAGACGAGTACATTACGCTGAATGAAAGTTGTTTTGACTTGGAGCTTTTGTAACTAAAGTTATGCCCATCAAAGAACTCCCCCTAATTATTCGAGGATTATAATTGTAATACGCTTCCCGGTATTCTGTCATTTCATGTTGATTTTTGTCGACAGATGCAATGAGAATTTATATTTCTTTTTTTGTATTCTTCTTCTTTTCGCTGTTCTCTTTTTACTTCTTATCGGTGCGTTTGTGATACCGCATAGTTGAATTTGTTTCAACCCATTGACATCTGGCAATGCCTCAATATTAGGTTACATAGATCAACGTGCGATCTTAGGACCCGGTTTTTAATTCTGATTCTAAATTTAAATGTGCTTGAAACTATTCAAGAGCAGTATTTGTTAAGGAAAAGATTTCGGTTTTATTTTAATTTAGATGTATTTTCGTCAAATCGCAATGCATTCCAATCCCAGTCGAATTCCAGCTTCTAAAGTTTGGATTTTAGTTTTATAGTTTGGCACTACGTGCATTATTATATTTTTTTATAATCTGAGATTTGTCTATTTTTATTTATTAAAAGTTTTTTTCGTGTGTTAAACTCTTTGTTTTCCATTCTTGCTTATCCATTCCCTAAATATTCACTCTAAACTGGTGGTCATACTGATTAAATATTCTTATTATTATTATATCTGTATGAGATACTGACCTAATCTTGAGGGTTTTTTCCTCTTTAGCTCAGAGTAAGTGCCTGGCAATTAAATTAGTGAAAAAAGTTGTATATCCGCCGATTGCACATGAATTTTATGATCAAAGCAAAACTAATTTGCGAAAAATGATAAAATTTAATGTCAAAAATGCATATAATTGGTAAATACGTTTTGTTTTTAAATTCGTTCTAAATCCATATTTCGGTCTCCACTTTCCTCTTATACCACACTGGATAAAGACCACATTGTATCTAGAATCCAGACTCTTGAAAACATTGACAAGAAAAAGGACTCTTGATTCAATCAGATTTAAGCTTAAATCATAAGGAAATCCGCTCAAATCAAGAGGCTTGGTTCTTGATTTAAGCTTAAATCTCATTGGATCAAGAGTATTTTTTCTTGTCGATGTTTTTAAGAGTCTGGACTCTAGATCCAATGTGGTTTTTTTTTTTCCAGTGCACCTGCACATTATCAACGGCTAAAATTGAAAGTCCTCCTTCAGAGTTCGTTTTAGGAGAATTGCAGAGAGGTATGCAAATACTTGGTAAATGGATCAATTTAAAAAAAACCAAACCACACGCTAGAAGAATAAACTAAAACTTCTAATTACCAGACTAGTGACATAAAGTATTGATAACGTCAAGTGAGCCGATTATTTTCCAAATCAAGTAGGCGCCAAAATTGCGAATGCGGGAAAAACAAGGAACGCCGTTTTATTCGCTTTGTTGACAATTTTCAAATTCCCAAAAAATGTATGTTGCTTTAGAAGGCTATTTTGAAATCAGACGTAATTGATTATACTAGAAAATACAAAGCAAAACAACCTTTCTACCGCCAAAATAGAGACTGTCGCTTAAGTGACTTGGAAAATAATCGGCTCAAATATGTTAGGTTTTCCCCCTGAACACTTGCTGAAGCGTCGAAATTTGGTCTACAGATTTATTACGTGATTTCTCACGATTCATCTTTCTCTAATTAACTGATAATAACTGGACAAATACCGAAATTAATGTTACTTGTTCAGTGCGCTGGACTTCAATTGCGGGAAAATTGGTAAAAACTCATCCCTTTTGCCATACATATTGAGTTTTTCAATGACTCTTTGCCTTTTTACAGAAGTGATGCAAGTTGTGGTGCTGCACGCAGGAGCTATTATATTACATTAGAACGGTACTAAATTATCCTCCGTCAAATATTTAACTTTTTGAAAAAAAATATTTTTTTCCGCGAAGTGTTTTCATACATTCAACAAAATTGCGAGTAAAACCCCCGGAAAAATTCAACTATGAGAATTCTAAACCATTCTTGGAGATTCATATTCTGTTGGAGGAAATTTGGCGACATTCTAATGCTCCTAGAGTTTTTTTTCTATGCGCGGCAATGTAAGGCGTTTCAAGAAACGGTGTTTCATTTCCGTCGATCTGTAGAATTTTCATCTCTTACACTGAAAAAATAAACGAATATTATAAAGAAGAATATAGAAGAAGAAGAAGAAGAAAAAAAAAATAACCCCGGCCGTGGGAGTCGTGCATAGGGCTATACAGACATGCCGTCGGTGTTCCAGGCTCAGAGGCCGAAAGTTCTGGAGCCCGGAGCAATCTAAGGAACGGTTACTCCAGTACCCAGTACTTTCAGTCACTGAGCCCGGAACAGACGGTATGTCTATACATCCCGTAACTTTATTTTTCAGTATATTTTTATAGCTTCAGTGAATGTGCAAGAAATACCTATCAGACCCCTGCTTCCCAGACGGCACCTAGGCATTTACGGAGCTATATTACTCGTATGGATAGGTGATCAAATAAAATTTCATTTACCTAAAATTCCGAAAATTTTTGGATGAAAATCTACAATGGCAAATATATTCTCTCAGTTATTAAAATAGGACATGCAAATTCATTTCGTTGCCAAATTTCTTTTAGCAGAGTTGAAATCTACACAAACACTCTTAGATTCTCATTGTTGAAGTTTTTAATTTATTAACAAATGTACAGTTTTGGCGAACGGCTACATTTCTTTCGGCATTTGTTTTGACCTTAGCCTTTTGATTACGCTAACATTAATTGCTCCCCTGACAAAAGCCTGACTATATTATGAAGATTCGATTTTTTCTTGTGCAATTTATTTCTTTCGTGGAAAGAAAACCAACGAAGATGATCGCATCATTATTGCTTAAAATCCTCTCTGTAGAATATGAAATTCTGCAACATCTACATGAAAAATATAACAAGAATCGCAGCATAATAGAAGATATACGGGATCGTGACGACACAGTTGGGTAGTCTTGGAAACAAGCCACTAAGTATGGTCGCTGCCTATGAATCCCCTTCAATTACGAAGGATGCAACATGTTATGAAAGTTGCATCACCTGTAATAGAAGGCGCTTTGAGTTTCCGTAGCGTCAAGTTCGACCACTGCACTGTTCTATCACTGCGCGCTTGTTACATTTTGATGGTGCTGAATGGTCCCTGCACCTACAGTCTGGTAAATGTTGCAACCTCCCCCGCCCTCCCACCACCATCTGCGGGATTTCCTCGGGAAGACTCACGATTAATTTTTCCGTGAATTTTTCGGAGTCGAAATGCGTCTGAGACTTTGTGACCTTTAAATGTAGCTAATTTGGGGACAGGTTTGCCAAAAGATTTCAAATAACTTTCAATCGGAGAGGACTATACACAGAAATAAATTATGAGCTTAAAGCTAAAGGCAATTTAGGACGCATTTATTTTGGACATATTTTCTTCGATCCCAGCCGGGTGAAGCTTGGTCCTCTTAATTTGAATTTGAGACTTTATCAGTCATACCTCTCGCAGTAAAAAATCTATTCCCATTAGAAACATTGACAGAGGATTTTTTATAATTTATTTTTTTATTATAATATCTGTTACAATCGTGACCGACCCATCGATTGTGATAAATTGGACCTACCTAAATACGTAATGCCTCACGTTCAAGGTTTAAAACGAGTGCGATATAAATCGATGGAAGCAGGACGTCAATTTTTACACTCACTGCGTTGCTGCCACCAGTATTGCAGCCTATAATGCAGTGCTTAGGAAAACCGCCGTATGAACCTTCGGGCGTTGCCAAATTTCCTTTGATAAAACACAAATTTCCCGGTAAAATCATGAATATTTTCCTTTCCATTTTTAAGATAATTTTGTACGCGATTTCGCCTTAAGCTCCTGAAAATTTCAAGGGAAAATTTCATAAATTTCCTCAAAAATAAACATTTTATCGGAGGAAATTTGGCAACTCTCGAATGTTCATACGACGTTCCTCCTTAGCACGGCAGTATACTAATGAACTATATGTATAGGGAACATTACCTACTGAGCCTTAATTTTGATGTTACCTGCTTTCCCCTGATAAAGTAAAAATTGTAACGGAAAATTGCCAGACAATGGGTCTGTTGGACGCAAAATATACAGCCAAATACGTATATTCTTAACAGGTAAAATCGCACGAAAATCATTTTGGGCTCGTTAAGAAAAGTCATTCCTCAGTACGCAAACTGCGTAGTTTGGAACATGTTTTTCCAAGTTTCCCGCGTCGGCGGTCAGATTTTCTCACCGGTCACCGCCGACCAGGTTTGCACCGACAGATGAGTCAGAAAAATAAATCTGAGTAAATAAACGATTTCACTAACTTTTTATAATGTATGATTTCAATCGTTGTCAAGCGTGTGTTTCCTTTTTCTTTCTTAATTTTGCAAAAACAAAAGCTTCGAATTAATTGAAATTTTACGCAGAAAGAGTTGATAACAGTTCGCGAGATTGTTTGTAGGTTTCTTTCCGGGCAAACCTGACTGCTGGCCACCACGAAAAACTGCCTACATAGGTGGTTTTGAAAAATCGTGTCACAAACTAAGTAGATTGCGCGCTAGGGAGTATATTCCAGACTTCTTGATGTGACCAACGTGATTTTTGAGCAAATAGGTCTGTTGCAAGCAAGAGGCAAAGCCAACTGAGTGCACTTTTTAAGGGAAAATTGGACGTATTTCTATCAAACGGAACTAACCGCCATAGGGGGAGGAGGATAGAGGAGGGCTTGGATTGGCGGCAGAAACGGGCGTCGGGCACATTCTATCCTATACCCGCAATGCTTTTCCATGGCGCTTAGTTCCGTTTGACAGGACGCGCTATCCGGCATTCTAAATTCCTCAAAAGGAACTCGGCGCTTAGTTCCGTTTGACAGAAATACGTCCAATTGAATTTTGCCCGGGCGGACCTTCGGGTTGGATCGCGTAGCGGCCTGGGGCATATCCCCCTAGTATCACACCAAAAAGGAGTCACATCTTCATTGATTTTAATGATCAATAAGATGACGCTGATTGAATATTCAATACCATATGCAACGTAATAACTATTACCATCTATAACCTTGGACGTTATTTGATGGGGCACGCCATCTTGTTCGGTCTGTCCGGTCTCGACGACATCCCATCGCTGGATCATTATCGTCGGTGATTCAGTCGCGACAATGTTTTAGTGCGTCGCAGCAGACAGAGACAACAAAGCGTTTCGGTTTATAAAAAGACGGGGGGGGGTGGAGAGAGGGGGGCATGAGTCCCGCCGGCCGCGTTGCATGGGGTTCGTGGCCGACGTCCAAAACGCATGCGCCAGAAGTGGGGCATCGAACTTGCACTTGGACGGGACACAAGGTTACCCTCATTCCACCACAGCACGAAGATGGCGCGATTCAGGGGGGTGGACCCCCCTACCCCGCCCCCTCACTCTCCCTCCCAGACGACCAGACACACGAAACTTGCGTTATGTTCGCAGTCCTGGCACACTAGACTACTTCCCTCTTGAGCCCCCTGCACTACCTGTCCCTCGCCACTCCCCGGGATGCCTCCCCCGAAACCCACCCTTGTCTGCGCTTTTCCCT